AAAGGCAGTCATCAATGCCCTCCCAGTCTTCACCATGTCATGCTTCAGGTTCCCAGTATCTGTTTGCAAAGCCATAGCTAGTTTGAGTGCACAAAACTGGTGGAGTAAAGGGGATTCTCAAGACGAGGGAGTTCACTAGAAAGCTTGGCATCTTCTTACTTTGCCTAAAGAAGATGGTGGTATTGGTTTCAAGGACATAAGCTCTTTTAATCAAGCATTGATATGCATGCAACTGTGGAGACTGGTTTCTCAACCTGATCTCCTTGTGAGTCAAGCGCTTAAAGCAAAATACTTCTCTCATTGCTCAATTTTTTTATGCCTCCAAATTTCAGAATGGATCCTGGATCTGGAACACTTGGTTGGACTGTGTCTCCATATTAGCTCATGGGCTGAGGATTGAAATCAATGATGGAGCTTCAACCAGGATTAGTGACATCAACTGGGTCGGTAGCCTCCCCTTAACTAAACCAGCTTTGTTGCAAATTGCTCAGGGACACATAACTTGGGTGAAAGATCTCATGCAAGAGAATGGGCTTTTCTAGAATTCTTGGTTGGTGAAGCAACTTTTCAGTGTGGAAGACAGTAAGACAATATTGAATATCAAGAATTTGAACCCTTCTAAGAGGGATAGACTTTTCTGGTGCATGGAGAAGAAAGGGAACTTCTTGTCTCATCTGTTTACTCTTACTTAATCAATCAGAAAATCCTCCATTTTGGCATTCCAGGTAATAGCAAGAATCACTCATTCATTAAAAAGCTAGAGTTAGAACTTGGAACCTGAAAATCAAAGGAACCATAAAACACTTCATGTGGAAGTGCATAAATGGTTCTCTCCCTGTGAAGATCAATTTGGCCAATAGAGGAATTGATGTTGATGTTATCTGTCATGGTTGTGGAGAAGAACCTGAAACCATTGAGCACACTTTTTCCATTGCCCAAGAGCTCAGTTAATGTGGAAGTTGAGTCCAGTTAAATGGGAGGGTGTCAATTCTGAAGGCTGCAAGTTCAGATCATGGTGGTGGAACTTATGTTCTTTGAACAAGTCTACTGTTGCTGAGGACAGAATCCAGCTCACAACCTACTTTCGATGGTGGTTGTGGAAATTTAGGAATTTATGGCTGTTTGAAAACATACTGCTGTCTATCCAGTTGGTGATATCCCAAGCTCATCAAGCATGGATTGAGTTCAAAAACATGAAGAAGTGATGTACTGTCTTTGTAGATGTAGGGAGCTGTTTTTTCTTCTTGTGTTTTTCCTGTTTCTTATTTATGTTAGATGTTGTGGGTTTTTTCTTTGCCATGGTGGCTTGTGTTCTTTGGTTCTAGTGGGGAGATTGGTATTAGACTAGGCATTTGCAGTAGTCTGTTTATTATTCCCCAAGTTTGTTGCTCTGAGTCCATTTCTAGGATGCTTTTATGAGAGTCCTCTCATTTTCCTTATTTGGCTAGGTTTGGTTAATTCGGCTTTTGGCCACGGTTTGTATTTGAATGGTGTTCCTTTTGGTTTTATATATATTTCTCTATCATTTCGAAAAAAAAAAAAAAAGTTGAAAGCATCTATATATTATCTCTTGGATGAACAATGTATGCGTAGAAATTGAAAACTAGTATATTAAATCTATCAAGGAATATACAGATATTTTTTTTTTTTAATTTTGTATGTTAATATATTAAATGTGTTGTTCTAGCTTGTTGCAGATATAAAGGAATATCAAGGAATATAGTTTTTATTTTTACTTATATGAATGTCTTGTTGCGGATCAAAAGCAAAAGAAAACAGCTGTTTTTTAAATTTTAAATTTTAGGATTAAGACATTTTTTTTATAGATTTGTATTCATTTAATTTTCAGTAAATCCGAAATTATTTTTATTTACAATATTTAGTAAATACTTAATTCTTTTCATAGTTATAGATATGCATCATTGGGGTAATCCGCCATAATTCCGGCCATACATTCAATGTACAAGAGATTAAGAATAATAATTATATAAAAAAAGATAATAAAAAAATACTAATTTAAAAAAAAAAAAAAAAAAAAAAA